GGGGATAAAAAGCATGATGTTATGTGTATTATTAAAGAAAAGATTGTTCAATCAGAGTTAATGTTTTTCTTGTTAAAACGTTAACGAAATTTCTAGTCAACTTTCACGCAGTAATAAAGGATCCTCCCGTTTCAGCTTCATAAGTTAAATTACTTTTCATTCAAATTACCGACATAGAAACAAAACTGAAATAGAAATAATATATACCGTAGAAATATTTGTTTCCATAGCAACGATTCCCCTAACAAAACAGGATCTAATCATCCTTTAGATGAATTCAAATCCCGGATTAACCCCGGATTTCAAATAGCTATTCGAGATGGTCATGATCACAGAGTATTTTGTAGTTGTAGGTACATAGATTGGTACAATTGGTTTAAATCTTGATTTTGGTTTTCTTTTTTTAAGGGGTGAAAATCATCGAATGACTTCTCCCGTCTGGGTGAGGCGGGAGGGAGTGTCAGACTCTTACTGACTAAAAACCACAGTGTTCCTACTCCTACACTTCGAGCCGGAGCCCCGGTAACCCGTTAGGTTCTCCGCGGCTTCGTATCGGCATCAGTTCTAATTGGGCCCCATCCGTGGTGGTCTGATGATGATGATTTTGGGTTTAACTGTCAATTACGGTATACAACTTTAACAGCTAGGTACTCAATCATCACAAACATAGACTGTAGAGTTTGTCATGATTTTTACGCTTGGCAAGTGAGTGTAGAACTTAATTTATATAAGACTAACGTAGGTAAACTAAATTGTATCTTACAGAAATCATTAAATACTTCATTATCCTACCAAAAATCTAAACTACACACCTCTAAAGAACCAAAACTACACAACATTCAATCTCCAATCTAGCATATACACAGCGAGGAGATAAGCTTTCCATCAAGTAAGAAGTCAAAGCAAGTCAGCATCAAGCAGTTATAGTAACAAAGTATGGCGAATGCAATTTGTGGCAACGAGCATTTCCGCTCACCAAGGCGAACTCAACAACACGTGGACACTGCATACTTCTAGTTTATTTATTCATTTATCTTTTAACGCGTAAAGATGATTGATACGACTCCCTGACATGTATGGACAAGGCCAGGCGTTTTATTGTAGACAGGATTCATAATCTACTCAACGATATTAGGATCCATTCTTATCATAAAACTCTCACAAAGTTTGTATTTTAAATTAATTATTTTTTACGGTTTACTCCCGTAACTGTTTGACGAAGCAACTCGACTAGTTTTGGGACACACCGGGAGCTCATAGTTATTAGCGTGAAATACGTTATGTAACAAAATGTTTACTAATGTTTGTAAATATTTAGAATAGCAGTGTAGGAACCTGAAAAATCTTTAATAAATTATTTGCACTGATAGGTCACAAGACATCTTTTAATAGGACTCCCATACATATGTATATATGATTTGACTTAAGTATGACTTCTGAACCTCAGCATTTTCACTACTAATTCCTGTTTTCTTAAACTAGGGCAAAGTGCTCTAATTGCGCCCCTGCTTGAGCTTATTGAGCCTTATCAAAAATAAACAGTCATGACATAATATAATACCGTAGGTACCTGATACCTATATTCTATTATAATAATCCTCTTAAATGCGGATTATGATCTCGCTTTCTCCCCGGCGAGATGATTGCCTCTCACATAATGGCATCCAGCATCAGTAGCATACTGACCTATATCTATTGAATTGACACTCGACAATTTATGAGAGCGATTCCTGCCACTCTTATGTCATTTCCCTCGTGGATTTAAACAGAGAATACATTTATTTATATTTAATGTTGACATGTTATGACTTTCTGTCGTAGGAACTTATATGGTGGGACTCTTTCGATGGACTAGAATGGATTATGAACTCTTGCGGAGTACCTATATTCTTATGAGAATTTTTTATACTTCATTAATTGGGTCAGAGGTTAAGTACTTAAGTTGTTGTTTTAATCCTTTCTATATTGTTTGTTAATTTATCAACAAAATATCGTGCCTCTTTTATATCACAATTACTTGAAAGCGATTTAATTGACTGAAACAAAGACAAAGAGAGGTTGGATCTAGACAAAAAAAATGTATGTTGCCTTTTTAGTAATTCAGCTCAATTTCAAACAAGGCAATGGCGAGAGTTTTCCACATGAAATGAGCGCCTGTTTGTGCTTAAAACCCTTCAAGTAACAAGGGTTTGATACACAAGGGACAAAAAGTCAAACAATGCCGTTTAGACAATGATCTATTGTTTTGTTAAACGCTTTAATTATGTAAAGTTTTCTCGTAAACGGCTTGACGTGACAAAGAGTTCATTAAAAAGTTAGCGTGAATAAAATGTCTCGATTTCCCGCCAATTTTATAGCTCTATGACACTTTTGGATGAATTTATTTGTCTAGCAGAGCATAGACTAGATAGAATGTTTATGATTGTGTTTTCTCATTGTTATTTTCCCCTGTTGTTTAATGTATCATCTACAATGAAACTACACCCCGCTCTCGTAAGACAGTATTTTATTAGTTGGACTGAACAATAAGTCTTTATTCCGAAACATATATTATTTGACTAGCTTCTGCCAGCGGCTTCGCCCGCGATCCCAGGGGGAAAATGCCAATGTATTACATCACACCATACTCTACCTCTGTTCCGAATTTTTATTATAAAATGGAGTAACTTCTCCCGTTTTCCCAATATTTCCCTTCACTGCTCTGCTCCTATTGATCGTAGCGTAATGAAAAGTATACTATAACCTGCCCAAGAGTATGAAGAATAATTGTGCCAAATTTCGTTAAAATCCGTCGAGTAGTTTTTGTTTCCATAACGAACATACAGACAGACAGACAGACAGACAAAAATTTTACTGATTGCATTTTTGGCATCAGTAGCGATCCCTAAGCACCCCTTGATAGTTATTTTTTAAATATATTTTATGTACAGAATTGACCTCCCTACAGATTTATTATAAGTATAGATAACGTTTTGCTGACAGACAAAGTTTCCATTGAACCGTATGTAGGGATACAAATTAATTATGAAACAATTTATCAACAGTTCCATTTCAATATTTACCAAAACTAAAACGGAGAGATACTTTTACCTTTCTCACAAAAGTTTTAGAGGTTAAATAATCAAGCCATATATTATTTCGTAGTGGCCAGTATCCACGTCAAACTCATCATAGACAATAAACAATAGTTTCAAACATTGTATTGTTAGTGTCAAAAGTTTTCGCGCGAAATGTATCTAGTGACGCGGTCGTGTAATATTGAACTAGTGTTGGATCCCTCGCGATTGATAAAAATAGAGCACGAGCAGGGGGATTGAATTCGTCATTCTATCCGGTAGTGAAACCACTTGTTTTATTCATTGATATACTCACAAAGTGGCCAATTTCAATCGTGTATGCTCTTCCTGCAGAAATATTCGCAACGAAAATGTTATAAAATATCGTATCGCCCTTTATTAAACTTACAAATACGGGTCTTCTACAATATGGAAGGAATTTATTGCACACATTACTAGAATTAGAAAAACGAAGAAATAATATCTTAAGACTTTGATTTATTTACGAAACCAACTAAGTATGTCAGTTTAACTGATTTTCTGACTCGATTTGAGAGCAATTAGTGATCAATACACAAATGTTAAAATGTCTAAGATTTTTTTTAATTCTTTTATTTCTTTTTTTGGAACTTTTGAACACAGTTCACGCCAGTTCTACCATAACCTATGTCTAAGTTTTAACATAAATAGTGAAAAGTGGGTGGCATTAAGCGCCGTAATGTGCACCTCTGTCTATCCCTTCGGGGATAAAAGGCGTTATGTTATGTTATATCTAAGTTATACTATGAATAATCATCTTTTATAATTGTACGGTTACTAAATATAGGAATCAAACTTAATTTACCTGTTCATAGTTCAAAAGGAAACAGGAAGCAATAAGATGATTAAATTTTTATAACACAAATAAGGACAAGACTTTTGTTAAGGCAACGACTGTGTAATTACAGAGTGTAATATTATCCCGGGTCGTGCAAAGTATTACTGGGTTTTTAAAAAATTCTCAGTAGTAGCACGGAGCCTGGAATTGTGCCCGGTATATGGCAATAGGCTCACCCCCTATTACATGGGTCTCATAACATAAATTGTGAAAAGTGGGTGTTACATTGTACAGTGGCATTAAGTGCCGTAATGTGCACCTCTGCCTACCCCTTGAGGAATAAAATGGCGTGATATTATTTTATGTAAATTTCAATAAATTTCCAAAGCTCAGGATCGTATAAAAATTCAAATATTATATTCAAAAAAATATATGTTTCATTTGACCATGCAATATACGTTCTATATTGGCTATAATATCCCATTTAAATACAATATTAAAGTTTTGCGATAAGTAAATAAAGTAAGACTAATTAATTCGTTTTGTCATAGCGCATTGTTGAATATACGATTTTTAACACAAGACCATACCTGAAATTTTTATTTAAGTATCTGTTTTTATTTTCAATTGTAATGCAATAATAAAACGTAATTATATAGTGTAAATAACTGTTAATGGAGGCAAAGGAAAAACAATGGCTTCTTCCCAGCAGTTGTCATTTTTCCCGCGCAACTTGAGCCAAGGAAAACAGGATAATTGATAGCACTTTTCGGAAAAGCTATCATAATACCGTCAAATATACATTGAATAATAAATAAACCAACACTGTGTAATAATACGTAGTTATTAAAACGACATCTTGTTATGAAAATATTTTCTGATTCAGATTTCCCGGAGCAGACTTTTCTTTGCGATCCAATTTTTCTAAAGTATGTGGGACTATGTTTATTTAGACAATAAACGTTGTTCATTATATTAAAATATTTATTTCATGAAATCTGTCAAACAACTTTAATTAATAAAACGCAGTTTCCATTTTCATAAATGCGTATTTTGATTTTTTTGATTATTTTACTCTGAAATTTTATTGTTATATAAAATATTATTTTACTTCAATGTTTACTTACCGTTCACAATAAAAACAGCTGAATACAGTTGAATTATCACAAATCACTAGTTAGTTTTGATTGTACACCGCATCACTATCGTTTTCGAGCGGTCGGCGGTGGGAGCGGGACATGCGTCGCGGTCGGCGGTCGGGACCTCACTGGCACGACAAACAGTCTGGATATCCTCGAGTCCACCGGTGGGAGTGGGAGTGGGGGGAGCCGTGACGATTGATCTGTACTTCCATGTCCTGAAAGCGGCCCTATCCCAGTATCGGAACAATCGCTCGTCCTACGACCCGTATATCATCTGCGGATAGCTTTTGAAATATCCGATGTATTATTATTTTCGTAATGTTTCGATTCGTTTTCTTATCCTATTTTTCTTTTATTGTACTTTATGCATTGTTACGATGTTTGAGTTTGTACTCATTTGGAATACTCATTTTATTGAAAATGAGTAAAAATAATAAATTAAAATAAGATTAGTTTTGTTCGCTATTTCGAAAGATGATTTGATTGACGAATAATTTCAAATCCTCACACTATAATTACAGGTTGATTCATAGATTTATGCCACGGTTTTATCAGTACCTTATCAGGTACGTAAATGAACACTGAATCCAGGATATTAAGTAGATTTTCATAATAATAAAGTCTTTAAAATGACGAACTGTTAAATTATGACGTGTTTTTCGTTTGTAATCCTATTAAATTAATTAAGCTAGCTCGTCGTCCTACTTATTTCATTATAATTCTATTTTCTACTAGCTTCTGCCCGCGACTTCGTACACGCAATCCCGTTTCTCCCATTCCCGTAGGATTTTCAGGGCTTTTTTCTGTCAAAAGAATCTTCTCCTGACGATAACAAACACAACAAAAAAAAATCACCCAAATCGGTCTAGCCGTTCTCAAGTTTTTTATATATAGAGGTATATAGACTAATAAGTAATTAACTTTTTCGATGAAATTATGTTCATTTTTTATTTCGCACAAATCTTGTCGTTATAAAATGAACTCACTAAAAAAGTACTTAATTTTAAATAATTAATAGGTTTAATATAATTCACCCATAGCCTTTTATGCCTAGATTCCTATAAAAAGAAATTATATAGAAAACTGTCTACTCTGCAACTGCGAAAGTAGCATGCATAACTGTCTTGACGAATCTTTGAGGCATACCTACAAGTAGAGCTAAAGTTACAAGAATAGAACAAAAATATTAAGAATACCCTCTTCAAAACCAACATAAGTTACTGAAGTTAAACTAAACTATATCACTTTACCAGTTGAAGTCGTTACGCCTACGAAAGCGCTACGAATTCTCAGTGACGTAGGAAGGTGCGCTGGCGTAGGCGTAGGCGGATGCTACGAAAGTACTACGTAATTATAAGGTTCGTAGCCGTCTCAGTGTGGTAGAGAAAAAAAAATTGATGTAGCTAGTTTTTTTATATAATAACTTTTTACTTATATTATTTTGATTATAAAAAATAATTACATAAATTGATAAAATCAAAATTATTATTAATCCAAAATTAATAAAATCTTGTCATATCTATGAATCGCGCAAATATGCAAATATTAACTTTTCATCGTAAGTTGTGATTAGAAAATTGAATTCTACGTTTTTTTATTTTGTGTTGTTGCATTATTATCAACTTTATGGATTGTTAGACCCTAAAGATAGACTAATAGGTAAAATGAACACCCACTTTTCACCAGGTAACCATCCCCGAGTACGTGAGAAATGGAATCATAACTAGGGGGCGGGGAAGTTGACTTTTAACCAGTGTAGAAGGTCATTTGATCGTTTTATAACAAAGAATCTTGTCTTTGTACCTTAAACCTTCTCAAGCTAATTATTACCTGCATAGCTAACTAGTAGCATAAGAGGAAATGGAGCAAGAGTGTGTGTAATAAGTATTTTTTATGGGATTAGCCAGTAAATGAGTAGACGCTTCACCTGATAGTAACTAATCGGCGACGCCCGTGGAAACCTGCTACACAAAAGTGAGGTTTTCGGATACATAACAACTATACCTATCTCTGCTAATCCCTTTGCTAAACAGCAAACGCAATGCTATAGTATTATATAACAGCCTCGCTCCAAATGCCAGTGTATCTAACACAGTCGCTTCTCTATTAAAAATAATTAGCTCTAATTATGCGACCTTAACCGCAGTAATTAATACATCCGACTTATTTTAATTATATTCAATGTCGGATCTAATTCAGCAAACTATTCGTTTATTTCCTGAAACGGTGAATTTTTGGCGACCATTAATTTACCTAGTTTTGGTCGCATACTTTTTGTTACTACTCGGTGTATGCGAAGCTAACTTTGGTATGCCGAAATGAAGACTTGACAGGAAATTTACAGAATTATATTGAAGACGTCATAGATTGAGAAGACGATGTTATCGTAGATTGGAAATTAGAAAATAAATGGAAGTCAAGGACGTTGAAAAAATGGCCGACACAGTCTCTTGAAATAACGACTGTAGCACCTGGCTATGGTAGAATTACACGCAGAACATGAATACATTATTATACAAATTAATACGAAGGACATAGACTGTCATTTTCTTAACTCACATAAAAACAAAACCACGGTCGTTTTGGTGCTTCAATCATGTCTAAGTGACATTACATAACATAACATCACACCGTTTATCCCCGAAGGGCTAGGCAGAGATGCACATTACGGCACTTAATGCCACTGTACAATGTAACACACACTTTTCACTATTTATGTTATGAGTCCCATGTAATAGGGGGTGAGCCTATTGCCATATACCGGGCACATTTCCAGACTCCGTGCTACTACTGAGATTTTTGAAAACCTAGTAATTCTTCGCCCAACCTGGGAATCGAACCCGAGACCCCTTGCCCGGCAGTCGCACTTACGACCACTCTGCCACCGAGGCAATAAGTGACATTATGTCCGACGTTTTTTCAACGTTCTTGATCGTAGTCATAAAGATAGTAAGAAAGATATAACAAGTACGGTAAAAAAAACATTTTAATTCAAACTGTGTTTAATTTTTCGAACAAAGTTGTGCTGAATACATGACGCAAATGAAACGCTTAGCAAAGTAACACAAAGGATTTTGTATCTATTAATATCCTTTAACATCATAATACCAGTCTGCTACCAACATTAATGAATATGATCCGATGATACAAAATAAATGAGGTACATAATTAATTACTCAACACCATAGCCTATGTATAAAGTAAACAACTGTGTAGGTCTAACTAAATAGTCTAATTTTATGAAAGTTCCTACATTTTTTGCCAAGTTGAACCCAAAAATCAACTCTAATTTACAAAATTAACATGGCTTGGGTGGAGTTGGGGATCGTGTTCACCCTAATTAGAGACGCGCTGGTAGCTTTGAGAGTAAGACAATAAATCAACTACCAAAAGTACCTAAGTGCTAAATTGTATATGTTGACCGTTGTGACTGTAATAAATAAATAAAATAAATAAACCTTTACCTCAGCCTACCCTCAGCACGTGTTAAAAGAAATGACGTTACGTTAATTAATTAAACATCAAGCCTAAACCATGGTATTAAACAGGACCTAGTTCCTTTAAACAAGCGTCGGCTAAGGCTATATTCACTTAGGGCTAGGGCCACCTATAAGGAATGCTCTAACTCTGAGGTGTAATTTTGTGCTACGGGACCCCTGCACTTGCCTACACCTGTACCTGCTCCTGCCCTAACGTACGTAAGCAAAAATTAATAAAAACTTATTAATTTTATTTTATTTCAGTAATCATAAAAGTAAAATTTTATTAAACAATTTTTTCCCGTGTAAAGCAAGCGTTCAAAGGTTGGCAGAAACTTTAGAAAAGGAAAGATTTCCAATTTTCACACAAATTATTAGTTTATATTAAAACTTTCGTGAGACATACTTATTAATTATTATGTTTTCGGCTTACTCACGTAATTGTTTAACGAGGAACTCGACTAGTTTCAAGTCATGCTAGAGGCTCATATTCATGAGCAGCATTCTGCGACCCGCGACGCGGCGACGCCATAACAAATTATTAGGAGGTATTATGCAAAAAAAAAAATCTCTTCATAATAGCCCCTAAAGAAATTTTTATACGGGTCCAGGCGCGCAGTGGCGTACACTGCGAGACACGTTGTAATAACCGACCATCCAGACGCCTGTGAAGTCAGTAATATCTTGTCCAAATATCCTGCTTAAGTCTCACATTATAGCTATTCGGTTTACAAAATAAGATTTCTTCGTTTTTATAATAAACTGTCGATTTCGTTACCAGATTTTATTTTATCGACATTTACTTCATCTCTATTGTTCTATGCTACTTCTATCTTAGTCTATGGTCTTATCCTTCAACAACTTCACTTTGACAATAAGAATTTATTTGACAGCTATTGTTATTGTTTTGGTTGAACACGGTGTCTTCTGTGTCTATAAGGTTATTTTTAAAAATTGTTTACTGAAACTGCACCACAATGAACGCAAGAAAGCTGTGGGGTGAAATGGAAGACGAGAGAACGGATGAGACGTTACTTCAGAATGTCAACTTTAATCCAATCATAGAATTGGGTATGCAAAACATTCCCGAAATATCTATCACTGTGAAATCTTCGCCTATCGAACTACCAAAGCAAAATCTAATAACTCATACCATACAGCTACATGCTCACGCGAGGCAGCTATCGAATATTCTCGAACAAGCTGAAAATGCCTTATTTGAGGGTGCAAGGATTGGGCCTATCACCTTACCTATAGAGCCACCAGAACCTGAATTAAAACTAGAACATGACACGACCTCGCCGATTAATTTCCTTGAAAAAGAATATTGTGATTTTTCACTGGGTAAAGGACCCATGATTTTGCCTTTCACACCCGAGAGTCACAAGCGAGCGCTACGACAGTGCGCGGCCATAGCTCTTGGTCATGTTGGTGTAGCGACCACCACTAATGTAGTACTGACTGCCGTAGCAGATGCTCTAGATATTCATATGACTAATATGTGCAAACTACTCAGGACTGTAGTGGATAAAGAAGCAAGTGGCCTAAAATCAGGATTCCCAGACGCAATCTCTAAGGTATTTTCGGACCTCAATGTTGGTAACCTTCATGAATTTTATCAGAACAGAGTTGTGAGGTATCATGCAATGACTAAAAAGAAATGTGAGGATTTGAGGATTCAGTGTGAAGCTCTGGCTATAAGGGACATAGCACCACAGTTGAAGTTAGAAGAAGTACCAGAGTTACACTTTCCTGCTGCACTGGACGGGGCATTCACTCCATCTTTAGAGCCAGGGTTTCAAATGCTGCACAGTCTAGAACAAGAAGGCTTGGAGCTGCTTGAGGCAGTAACATCAGATGACATCACCAAAATGGATGCCATGGAGTTCTCACAACCAGAGACTACAGCAAAACTTCCTTCACTATCACCCAGTGCAAAGAAAAAAAGAAAATAAGTTTAACTTTTATATCTATTACCTAGGATAAGTGTAAGAAATAAGCCATATGTATTAAGTACTTATATAAAATTAAATACCTTTGTAATATTACAAGATAGTTTTTACTTCTGTTTGAAACAAGCTTCATCAGCAGCTTTGCCTGCATAAAATTTAAGATTTGTTCTAACCCTGTACAAATAATCGAGATAGTTGGATAAAATGTAATCAAGTTACATTTTATATCAGTCAGATAAAAGGTAGGAGTCCTCAAAAATTTTTTATACATAACATAACATCACGCCTTTTATCCCTGAAGGGCCGGGCAGAGGTGCACATTATGCCACTGCACAATGTACCAACACCCACTTTTCACTATTTATGTTGAGTCCCATAGCGGGTGAGCCTATTGCCATATACCGGGCACAATTCCAGACTCCGTGCTACTACTGAAAATTAAAAAAAAACCCAGTAATATTTTGCGCGACCCGGGAACCGAACCCGAGACCCCTTGCCCGGTAGTCGCACTTGCGACCACTCTGCCAACGAGGCAGTCACAGAGCCATTTAAAGAAATTAAGTAATTGTTCTCAGATGAATAAAGTTAAAAATAAAACATCATTTAAAACATAGCACCAAATAATTTATTCCAATTATTACTGTGTTAGATAACAAATGTGCTGCCAAAACACGGATAATTACACCACTTTATGTACAACATGCAATACGATTGTCTCTGATTATACACAAACAATTACTTGGTAGTCAAACATCAAACAGGTCCCTTCCAACCAGATTTCATTGCTATATTTTACATCAAGTCAAAACATTTATCACAATATTCTAATTACTAAGGCACTATGTGAAAATTCCTAAAAATATACTATGCATTCCTAATTAGGTTTACTGATCAAAAGTTTCAAGGCAAACTAATTACGTTGTTATTTACACTATAAGAAATATTAAGAAAATGATTAAAACAAATAAGTATGTATGCCTAGTAGCAAATTAATTATAATAATATATGCAGCACACAACTAAATCTACCAAAATGTCATGGCGCAAACAGTAGTTTTACTTAAAAAAATAATGACTATTACAAGAAATAAAAACAAGCATTGATCTAGAAGAAAAATTAAATTATTGTACTAATTTCAAAGTTAGTTGTATGTTCTTTTGTGATCTAGATCCATGCTTCTTTTGGCAAAACTTAATAATTATGGAATGAAGATCAAAGAAGCCCACAAAATATTGAAAGTATGACTATTCTGAGCTAGTTGACATTTACACATGTAACAATATAATTATGTATGTACTGTCAATAATACAAAATGATTACTGAAGTATGAAATGATAAAAGTAAATAAATATTGAATAATTATTTTGAATCAAACTTTAATTATGCTGGTAATGCAATCATTAGTAATTAAAATATAACATAAGCACAAATCAATTAGACTTACACAGAACATTTCTATAACACTTACAATTTACAAATAAGAATCAGCCGTATCATACCAAACTTTTATCATTTCATAATTATTGTTTGTCTTTTGCTCAACAATGTTTGTATGAAAAGTAAGAGATTCATAATTAGTTGGATGGGCATTATCAATTAAAGCTAGTATTAATCCTAATATCAGTAAAAACTATACATTTACACCTTGCTCCACCTGCTTTCTATTCGCTTCATTTCTTTTCTTTCTTTCGCCTAAATAGCAGGATGTGAGGTTCTGCAAAATAAAATGATGTTTTAAATAAAACAGCAGCACTCTAAAATAGAATACAATGGTAAACAACACACTTAAAAACATAATAAAAGAAACATCATTTTTCATCTTCGCTATTTGTGAACTAATAAAATTATGTAACACACATCCAAAATCAATTTCTATTAGATTCCTTTAAATTAATAACCGAAAAGTTTGACAAACTTGAATTGGATAGAAACTTATTTATTTTAATTTAAAAAAAACAACAACACTCTTGGCAACAAATAATAAAAATGGTTTGTGTCTACAAAATTAAAAGTATGTATCTTAATTTTATAAGTCCTACTTACCAGGTTGATGCGTCATGTAGTGCACCCACCCTTGGCTCTGCTGCACACCAATACCACGCCACTCCTGCTCCGACATCAAGTGGTTCTTGGGAACCAGCTTCACCATTTCCTTTGGAAGAACTACATGCCTGAAAAGACAACAATACATTTATAAAAGAAGTCTGTTCATATAAGAACATTTTAAACATTTATGAAGATATAAGTAATTCAAAAAATAAAAATGTTTCTCATCAGATCCACACAATACAAGAGTTTCTAGAAATTAAAAATACTCAACGACTATGACCAATGTTCTAAGAAAATACTTTTAATAAGAGAACTTACTAGAATACCATGACAAGTTGACCATCACGAACATTGAATATATCTACTTTACGACTGGTCAAATTCAAATCAAAGCTTTACATACGAGATTATAAACGTAGTTAAAATAAAAAAAGAGAAATTCTCAACATAATCAATAGAAACCTTTAGCAGTTATCAGAAACCAATTGAACTACCCCATTGGAGCCCCCTTAGAATGTCAATGTTGAATAGGTTATAGTAACTATTATCTTCACTTCGGTCATAGTTTTAATACTGTAAAGTAAATGAACTCATTACCTGTATTCATGTTCTTCATCGTAGTATTTCTCAGAGTAATAGATTTCTCTTCCAGACATGATGACAGTCACAGAATATCAAACCACCGATATGCAAAAAGTTGGCTGTCGTAATAGAAACCGAATACTTTGCAATATAGCCCTGAACTTGGAGATACAACAATGCTGTTTACAAAACAATTACTTCGCTCAGTTTTCTAGAAACTCACAAAGAAAACTCGAATTCGTAACAAACACGACTGAAGAAGCGTTAACGATTTCAAAATTCGAATGTTGAATATTGTAGTGTTGCCATTGTCAGAATTTAAAATAAATAGTTCAAAAACCGGTAAGTTCCAAAAAACTAGATGATATTCTCGATTATATATATATATATAAATCGAATATTATACTTAAAGGCTTTCTTATGCGTTAGCGATTTAACTTTGAGTTTGACCAATCAAGGATGTTCAATTTCATTTGAAATTGATTTTGATTAAAGCATATTTTTATCAAAAAAATTATGCGAAATTAAGCTATTGATATCAAATGCTAGCTCGTTTTGCAAGCAACTTCGTCTGCGAGTGCGAGAACAGTTTTACTTGTCTTCTGCAATTTTTTTTAAAATGTTTCATAATAGATAGGTACAACTTTGTAATGGTAAATATCGTTGTAATAGGGACCAATAGCCAAAATGTATTGTTTATGTAAAATTATTACAAATATGCAGTACACTAAATCACAATTTTTTTTTTACTTGAAAAATTAAAGACATACTATGTGTAGGTATTCCATCACGTCAAAACTGTTCAAGGGATCGAGATGAAACTTGACTATGGATGTCTATATAGGCTTCTCTTTATACTACGGAAACACTCACCAAGCTGGTGGCGAAGCTAGTTGGAATTCTTTTTTTTTAATTAAAACGTTGCCCCACACTAGGATTATCTCCTGTGTCGTGGGTGCGTTTACAAACATACAAGTTCACATATACATGACACCCAGACCCGAAACAACAATTTGTGGATCACACAAAGTATTATTCCGTGCGGGAATCGAACCCGCGACACGTTGCACGGCAGCCGGTTGCTTAGCCACCGCACCAATCGTGCAGTCAGTACCGTGCGTACAGGATTATTTTTATTAATGAAGTTAGAATTTAATAATAAGTTTTCAGGGGCAATATTTGTGCTCTGTCTTAGTTAGAATTATAAGTAATTCTAATTATATTTAGAAAAAGAACTGCCTCGATCGCCGAGTGGTGTGACTGCCAGGCAAAGGGTCTCGGGTTCGATTTCCGGTTTTTAAAAAAACCTCAGTAGTATCGCGGAGTCTGAAAGTGCCCGGTATATTATGGCAATAAGCTCACGTTGTTACATAGGACCGTTACATTGTACAGTGGCATTAAGTGCCGTAATGTACAACTCTACCTACCCGTTCGGGAGTAAACAGAGTATAATACGTATGGGGTAAAAGGCGTGAAACATCAGGTATATCAAAATACTTTAATTTATTAGTTGCCATAACATATCACAAAAAGTATTTTCAGTACTTATAAATATTTTTCAGGATATTATCTCGACTTAGTCATGATATAAGCTTCAAATTACATTACTCAATGAAAAATAAATGCTTAAATGTTTACAACTTAGAATTAAGTAGAACTAAACCTATGAATACGGGCCTAATCAAAAGTAGCAAAGTAGCTCCCGCAAGCAAGTTTGTTGTGCAACACTAACAAATTATGAACCCAAGCATAGCTTGAGAAGCAATTAAGTTATCTCATCAAATACATGGTTACGTAAGCCATAAAACATTTATTTGTTTTTAGTATTCCATGAGACAATAAAATGAAAGATTCTAGGAATACTTAGCAAATATTCCGAGAATCTGATTGTCCCTACTTCAGTCCTAAATAGATAACTAACACAATCACACAATACAAATAGTTAATACTTAGCCACAATAAATAAAAAACTTAAAAACAAAAAGTATCTAGTATAGCCCCGGTCCTGTCTACCAGAGGTAGCCCAGTAAGAGGTGGAGAGAAGGATCGGCTCAGCGTCTTATATCATATATTATTTATACTTGCCCCATTAGCGCATTGTGTCGTCTAGCGCGACGTATCAACGGATTGACGGACAAGAGACGAAGCAGGAGGGTGAGTCACGCGCTGCTTCAACGGATAATCATCATGTTTGTATCTGAGGTGCAGCTCTATACAGAGCAATGGAGCCTCATACAAAGTATCAAAATCAAAAACAAAATAAATAAATAAAGGAATGTGACAGAAAAACTTTAGTTTGCATGAGTTTTGACATGCTTTTCTAGTTCACTTTTCTTCAAGAAGTCTGCTGGGCAATGAGCACATGTGTAGACGCTTTTGTTATGTGTTAGTTGCATGTGCCTCTTTAGATCGGCATTGCGCCTGAGTCGTATTCCACAGGTACTACACACGTGAGGACGGGCCCCCGTGTGTGTCAGGAGGTGTCGTTTTAAATCACTGCGCGTAATAAACGCACGGCCACACGTATCACACTCGAAATTCTTCTCGCCTGTATGTCGCCTGGAATATATAAGGATAAAGTAACTTTGGTTGAAACAGACCAAAATGTTCTATAAAACCTAATAACATATTACACCATCAGTAATTAAATAGGTATTTACTATATTTTATTGTTGAAATTGTGGGCTCATATACTTAATTTTAATGTAACCCTAACAATTAACTTGGGCTACAAAATTATTGCTTTGAGGCTAATAGAGAATATAAGATAATAACTGTAAGAGAAGCAATAAAATTAAAATAAGATTTTTACCGTGTATGGTACTGAAGGTGTCCAATGGTACGGAATGAGCGGGGACACAGTTTGCACACATAGGGTAATATTCCAGAGTGTTTCCGCTTGTGTGCGGCTAATCCAGCAGACTGAGCAAACGCATCTCCACATATAGGACAAAGTAGCGGTTTTTCTCCCTGAAAAGACAATTACAATATATAATGAACTCTTTGGTGTTACCTACTCAATGTTATAGTTAAAATATCTAAATTAAATCATATGATTGTAAATATTTGTATAATATATCTGCTTAATGGAGGTTTACATATATAAAATCTAAGAATTAGACATTAACTTGGAACTAATAAAAGAATAATGGTAAAAGAAAATTTATAAGTAATTACTCACTGTATGCACTCGCAAATGCACTTTTAAGTTCTGTGCAAGAGAGAAGTTCTTATTACAATGAGGGCAGGTGTAGGGGCGTTCCCCTGTGTGAGTCTGCATATGAGTCTTGAGACGAAACCTGAAAAGACGCCTGATAAAATGTTAGTTGCGGGATCAGCAAAAATTCTAGACATCTAGTAATACACTGCAAGTTTTCTACTGCAGTCACTGATGACCACTCGCCATTTATCCTATTATACTTTATAGACCTTTATTCCGATGTTGAGAGACTAGTTTTGTATGAACAAATGTTGTGGATTTTTCATAATCGTGGATTAGGACTTGATGAATGATGATGAAAATGAATGACTTTATAAAATAAAATAAATAAAATTTATTCATAATTCAAAGATGCATAATACAAAATATGTCTTGTTAGTAAAATTGATCTCATCTTATTGGTTATAGTAACTGCCCAACAACAAAAAAAAAATTGTAACAGAAAAAGTAACGTAATACGCGTACCAAATATGCCGTTAATATCTATATTATGTAGCTAAAGGTACCTGCTCCATCCTGGTTCCAATTTGGGACGAGTAAAAATACCGAATTCGAGGAAATTTTGAACAAGAGTAGCTAACGTTTCTTCAGAAACCCGCGCTCCGAATTCCGCACAGTAACGTTTCACTGTGTTTTGGGCATTATCACCACAACGTAGAAACGTTTTCATCATTTCCGTAAATGCCACATCATACGGCTGATCCATTTTAAAATTGAATTTATAACCAAAATACAAAACAATGAAGATTGCGTTAAAAACAAAAAATCAATTACAAAAAGTTTGACTTTGACATTGACAAACATAACCAACTTTTTTTTGGTACCTATAATGTTGGCATTTCAAAATATGGCGTAGAGTGCGTAGACAGTAGACAGTTAGACACATACTATAGTGTTGCCCAATATGAAGGTAACTTTTTGATGACTTGCTATGTTCTTTCTATTCAAAAAAGGAAAATATAATGTAATTTTTCAGACTATTATATTAAAAGATTCAGTCGCACTTGCTACTATTCGACCAACGAGGTCACGGGTTCAATTCCCGGGGGAAGCTAATAGTGACATCGTATTGAGTTTTTTTAGGGGTTTGTTGAAAATCATCCCCTAAATTTGTTCATCCAAAAGTAGTCTCTAAACATTGGAAATAAGGTCTGTAATGTAGTTAGCGGAGAGTGGTCACCGGTGACCGCTTAGGGATATATGGAACAGCATGGAGTCTGGAATTGGGCCCAATATACAGCATTAAGCTCATTCTCTAAATAATATTATGTAAATACTTAACTAATAACCAGTAGCAAGTAGGTGAGTGTACTTCAGTCTACTTTCAACTAATAAAAGGTGTTATGTTATTTACATATCTTTTTTTGTAGTCTATCGTCCTCTTTCCCAAAGAGTGTAGTATTGTGTTATGTAGGGTCACAAATTACTGTAATCTATAACTTCTTATTCTTTGTAAATAATACACTTCAAAAAGCATGTAATTTATATGAGGATTACTTGCCTAGAAGACATAACTTTACCACAAGTAAAACATTGTTGTTTACGAGACTTCTTTTTTTCTGTTCTTGGAATATCATGTTCTATTTTTGTTTTCAAAACTATTTCATTATCCAGAAACTCTTCATTTAAATTTGTTTGGTCTATCAAACTGTGATCTATACTTTCATCTATAAATAATTTCTCTGCCTCACTCTTAGGTGACAAAGAACCGTCATTTTCAGTAATATAGTTATTACTATCTGGATTAATTCTTATATTTCCTATCAATAATTTAGCATCTGTGCTCTTATTTTCTAGTAAGGATCTCAGTTTCATATCAGAGGATTCACACAGGTCTATAAATTCTATGCTGTCATCCAGTTTCTGAACACATTTTGAACATACTGTTTCTGGAAGGCCATCTCCTGGTGCTATCTAAAATAAAATTCGATTAACAATGTTATAGATGTTACATTAGTGTCTAGAAAAGAAAGATTCTGCTAAAGTATGACTTGTACAACATACAAATTATTACAGACCGAATTCATCATCCATCCACTTTATTTACAAGAAATTCAATTATGAATAACAATGTTATATGTAGTTAACTCACATGCACTTTTGCTACAGACATTAATTTAGCAGATATAGAAAGGAATTCTGATTTTTTGAATATATTCACTAAATAATCATGACTTAAACAAACTCTACAAATATTTGTAGTCATTTTTATCTTATAATAGCACGTAATTTTAATTGTTTTGAAATGATTAAACACTATCCAATTCATAAATGTAAACAAATATTCCTTTGACAATTTGACACTGACAGTTTTTTATTTTGATGGATTGATGAGAATAGTTACAGTAGCGACAATGAATGAGCCAATGTAAATAAATGGTTTAAAAAACATTTTAAACATATGTTTTGGTAATGGAATTAGTAATAAAATACCTAAACATTCTTCTTACAAATGCATATTAGGTACAAATACTTACAATAAACTAAGCCCGGAATTTCGTTGCAATAATTTGTTGTTTTGAAACGAATATTCGAAAGTCACACACACAGCCAGACACTTGAACGTCTTGAACTTATTCATCAAGGCCTTGTCAAGTCAAGCAACTTTCTCTTCTTTGCACTTTTAACTTTAATTTTGTGCAAATGTCTGTAAAACTCTATCATTTTCCTATCAGTGGACCTTCCCGTGGAGCTCTACTGGCAGCTAGAGCAGTAGGAGCCCCGGTGGAAGTTGAGATTATTAATTTATTCCAAAAAGAACAGTTAAAAGAAAGTTTTTTGAAAATAAATCCTCAACACTGTATCCCCACGTTAGACGATGATGGTTTCATTTTATGGGAGAGTCGAGCCATTGCAGGCTACTTGGTCGATAAGTATGGGAAGGATGATCACGTGTACCCAAAAGATTTGAAAAAGCGCGCATTGGTCAATCAAAGGCTGTATTTCGATAGTTCTTCTTTGTATGTCAAGATTAGGGCAATTTGTGTATGTAAACATCTTTTTAATTAGGTACCTACCTACTTAACAATACTATTATTAAGAATTTTATTGATGTTGTTCTTGTCCATTTTATTTTCCAGTTCCCAATATTGTTTCTTGGGGAGACAGAGATAAAGAAGCCATTGAAGGATGATCTGAATGTCACTCTGGGTTTCCTAGATCAGTTTCTGAAAGACAGTAAATGGGTTGCTGGTGACCAACCTACTATTGCAGACACATCTATCTATGCTTCTGTGAGCAGTATCCTGGTAAGATGACTGAATATTTATTTATCAACAAACATTTGTTTCATCAACAGCCTATAAATGCCCACTGCTGAGCAAAGCCTCTTCTCACACGGAGAAGGTTAGAGCGTTAATCACCACGCTTGCTCAATGCGGGTTGGCGATTTCAAACTTATAATTAGAAATTATAAGTCCAGGTTTCCTCACGATGTTTTTCCTTCACCGTTTGTCAGTGGTGTCTAAATAATCTTAGAAAGTACATATAACTCGGAAAAAGTCACATTGGTACTTGCCGTTGGTAGGTTTCGAACCCGCACCCTCATGCATGAGAAGTGGGCGTCTTAAACCTCCGGGCCACCACGACAGTTTTTACAATGTTTGTTTAAAATGTTTTATTAGGATGTGGTCAGAAAAGGAGCAGTGGAAGTAGAGTTCAAGTAGAAGTGGTCAAAATTTCACCTCAAAAATATAATTTCTTTGAGGTGAAATTAAATATTAAACTGTCAAACGAAGCGGTCACCGGTGACCGCAACCTATTGTTCTATAATGACTGTACTCGACGAGTTAATGCATGTATTTTAATTGTTCTCTAAGCCTTATTCTCTATTTCAGGCTGTTGGTTGGGACATATCTGGATTCCCATCCATTGTAAGATGGGTAGGTCAATGTTCTTCATTACCTGGTGCAGCAGAAAATGACGAGGGAGCTAAAGCATTCGGAGATGCTGTGAAAAAGAATCTGCATTAAAAAACATATTTTTTTACAAAACATGTATATTGTTACAAATTTTAATATATTATTTTTATACTTATGTAATATACAACAAAATGACTGCAATATTTTAAATTGTAGTTTGATTGAAGTTCTATGAGCTAGCTATTATTTAGTTCACAGGTATTGTAGTATTGTACTAAGAAATGATTGAGTGACAGGAGTAAACATCCTACAACCCTCATGTGACAGCTGGAGCCAAACTAGCTTTATAGAGCCAATCTCATGGGAACCAGGCCAAAAAGCTGTTTAAAGAACAAATATTGCATAACAGGAATATCAACATTATCGAAAAAACTTAAAAACTAATTGTTGTTCATTTCGAACCTTCCTCTTTAAAACAACTTCAGATTTATATCCATAACCAGACATTATTTGAACAACTTCATCAGGAATGTTTTCTTCAATAAGCAGCAGGTAGAAGACTCCATTATTGGCTAGTTTCTTTGGTATCATGTTAATTAATCTGTCGGTAATTTCACGTCCTTTTGTACCCCCAGCCCAACTAGCCGTAATGTCACATCCTCCACACTCCTCACTCTCAGTAACCACATACGGTGGATTGAAAATGATAACATCGAACACATTATCAGTAAAGGAACTAGTCAAGTCCATGTTGCATGTATCTAACTTAACTTTGTTGTAAGCAGCAGTTTGCTTGGACATCACACAAGCCTTGAAATTAATATCAGTGCTCAAACAAAATGTTTGTGGGAAGGCCATACCAAAAGCTGTTATAACTACACCACTTCCAGACCCTACTTCTAAGCAAAAAGTGGGGTTTTTCTTCTTTAAATATTCTAGGTCCTTCTCTAAAGCATCTATGAGTAGAAAGCTGTCTTCTGCTGGCTCATACACATGATCAAAGTCAGCCTTGTCAATGTGGTTCTGATAGGGAGTCTCCATGTTGTCAGTTGATGCTTCCTCTGTCTGTGACCACTCCGCTGGTGCTCTGTTCTGGCTCTGGAGGTGGCTGCTCTGGTAGTACTGTAGTGCGTACACTCTTCTCCTTGCTCACCATTCGTCTTATCTCGTTGAGTCTATCCTGAAAAGGTGAGGTGAGGCTTTTAAAATTCAATATTTCAGACTGGATATATACTATATAGGATTATATTTTTCTTTTTATACTTTTAGTTAAAGTTACTCTATAAATCCAAAAGTAACACTAAAAACAAAAGAGTGTCTTATTGAAAAACTAAGCACTGTAAATTAAATATAAGTTCTGATTTTAAACTTAACCTGTGAAGCCTGCAGCACATTCAGCACCACAGTAACCTTGTGTTTGCAAGATATCAGCTTCTTCACATATGGGTCTAGATCAGGATGGTTGTTCAGAGCCTCGCGCACGTTCTGCAGCTCCTCATTCAATGAGTCTATTTGCTGCTTCAACTCCAATTGTGATATCCTGGAAATAAATTCAATGTTTCTTGGCACATGAAAGGTAATTCAATTATTAATAAAAAAATATTACAGTTTTGTAATAGATAAATCATGTATATTTTGCATTTGAAATCAATATTTTGATTCTGTTCATATTGAAAGTATTTTGATTCTAATCATAATAAAGGTGTCATAGAAATTAAAATATTACGTATTTAGGGACAAACAAGAACTACACAATAAAATTTTACCTCGTAGCCCTTACTCTGTCGTCGAGTTGGTCTACAGTAGGCTTCAAAAGGCCAAGTAAACCTTCCGCCAAAGTATCCCTTGTAGGGTTGTCGCACAAATTACCAGTGTTCTCATCAGCAGATGTTGTAGTACTCTCAGTGTCGTCCATTTCGTAGGATCACTGATTCATAATACAGCAGAGACGTGTATAAAAATATGAATTTACCTATTATTTTAGTTCACGATCCACAATATCTACTCGGCAGTAACAGTACCGTTTGGCATTTTTAGTTAATTAATGACATTGACACCCGCTTTCGGCTTTACGTTTTCAGTGTCAAAATAAATATCGTCAATGTCAAAAATATTTTATTTATTAGATTGGCAGTACTGATATTTGCAGCTGCGTTCAAAATAATTTAAAAGAGGATTTAAATCTTGCCATAGGATACAGTTATCATTGTTTATTACAAATGAGTAGATACCGAGGCAAAATTCAAAATCTTTGCTCAATAAATATAAATACAAGCAGATATACCAGCTGAATTGACGTTGGGTGCCACCGCACCGCACGCGCCGCACCACCAACTAGTATTCAGAACATGCTATTTAAATACAATAAATGACTTATGCTGAGCCAAGTTGGTTTTTTATGCTAATGGTTCACTAAATTAAACTCTTCTCGCCTGATATGGTGGCAATGGATTTTCTGAGATGCGAGAAACTACTACTAGAATAAATCAAGGGTTTGTTACAAATAGTTTATTATTATAACAAGGAGGCACATGCAGGGCAGTTCATCACCTAAGTAGTACTATTGATATTATTGATTAAGTACTAATAAACTAATGACTATAGTAAGTTCAATGTTTTTACACATGAGGTACTACATGCTACTACACATGCTATTAATTGATCAGTTCCTACCTATATTGAGCAAGTTACATAATGTTCAGTCGACAAAGTTACAGGTATTTTTTTCTAAAAAATGTTTAAGGTAAATAAAGCTTATAAAAATAACATGTCTGTGGGTGCTTAGTCCACACAAAACTTATTGTTATGGCATCAATACAATCAGTTAAAATAAATAATTTGATCAATTAACTACCTACCTAGTGATAATTATACTAATGCAATTAACTATTTTTATTAATGTCAGAAATATAAAATTATCTACATTTTTGGCGGCGCGACGTTTGACACTAATTCTATTCTAAATTAAGCTAGTAGGTACACTATATTCCAGTTCACATGGTGTCCATTAACATTTTCATTTGTTCTTTTACGTGTGTTTCCATATCAGCAAAGTCTCTCAGAATGTCTTCAATCATTTCAACTAATATCGTCGGCCATTGAACTTCGAGAGCTTTCAGCCTTTGCGCAGCACCACAAGCTAAATCGATTGCATGCGATAGCTGTCCACGTCCCCGAACACGCCAGCTCATATCCTCCTGTGATATTAAAAACCATAAAAATCATAAAAACTTAACATGACAGGATTATTTACGATGTATGTAACTTTTAAAATATTTTGCCCCACTACTAATCCTACCTGGTGGCTTACTCTTGATTCCAATTCCGATCGATCGACATTGACATTGTGAAATTTCGTACTCTCGAGTTGCAACACTAGCGCCCATTGCATCCGTATTGCGTGGATATTGAATGAACTAAATAGTATTGAGTTTAGATTTATATTCCGTACTCTGAATGCTATTTTAACAGCTACGATAGGGTTTGGTAGGGTTTGTATAGTTTTTACATTGAATAATTATTGAGATTTTATTGGATTGAAATTGCATTGACATTGAGATTGGTTTCAAGAGTAAGCACCCTGTTCTAGTAACCTACCTGTGAAACATTTCCTTTTTTGTACTGCAAGGCTTCTTTTGCAATTACGTCTCTTAGTGCAGGATCAGCTGCTCTTAACCAAGCTTTGGCACTTACAGCACTGTTGCCACTTCGTCCGAGTCTCGATAACAATGGTTGTAAAGGAGCATCAGGGATAGCCCTGAGGACTATGTCACTGAGACCTGCGTATGTCCTATTGGCCGTCTTTATTTCTTCGTCAGTTACCTTGACAAAAAAAAAACTTACTCAAAATTTCGCTTCTTGTCTTATTTTTCCATGTTTATGAAAAACTACTTACAGGTTCATCATTTATCTCCTTTAGTCCCCAATGAGCAAGTCTATAAATAGCATATTCTCTCCATATTTTTGCATAAATCGGGTTACCCTCCGGTAATACTGTAAGCCCAGTAACACCTCGAAGTTCTGCTAAAGCGTGTAATTGTCCAAGCCATTGGAGCCCTGTCGCACGAACTGAGATGTGACTAACATTTGGAAACCTGATAAAATAGAAATACATGGATGATAATTGATAACATTACCCACATTTTAAGTTAATACCTGTTTTGTATTTTATAGGTAAAAAGGGTACATTATAAATTTATAATTTAGAGTAGTCTCGGATCTTGATGATGATTATTCATTAAATTATAATAAACATACTAACTTGGACTTTAACTCTGGCAATGATTGTGCCACTGCATTGTAATGCACGTAATGGTAGGCAGCCCGAGTGACGGTACGGGCACGTTCCCAATCCCAATCACGAGCCAAACGCCGTACGGCCCCAGCACCCCATGCACTCACCACTCCATCACAAACTTCTACTAAGTAATCAACTCCTGCAAAATAAATACGATTGCTGCATATTATATGAACCAAATGATTGAGAGAACCAGTTTAAAATTATTATCAAACAATTTACCTTGTTCTCTATCTTTCGATGCAGGTAATGATTTTGGTACAGGTTCTGAGGATTTGAAGTTAGCTAAATTCAAGTTTTTCACTGACTTTGTTCTTGCCGTAGATGCTCTGTTTGCTGATGATGCTCTTTCATTTCTACGTGATATTGTTGCACTCCTTATGTTTCTGCTTGTTCTACTGTTCAGAGATCCTTCCCTTCGCAATACTTTGCTATTATGATCACTTCCTGAAGTCGATGAATTGGCAACGGAACCAACGTTCGTGCTACTTGATATATTGCTCGCATTTTCACTGATATCAGAATTTTTTGATTTAGACCTACGACTCTCGGGGTCACAAACAGATTTTGACCTCATTGTACTAAAGTTTTCTCGTCGTCTTAAAGCTGTTGCCATTCGACGAATCGGTCTTTTCTTCGTCTCCTCTTCACTGTCGCTGCTCGACGTAGGAAGTGAACTGAACGAAGAATCAACGACTGGTTCAACACTTGAAATACTTTCCCATCGTTTCAAAATCGGTTCAGAACTGTCTGCTAGTTTTACATTTTCCAAAGAAGATATAATTGGTAAGAGTATAGGAGGTAGTCTTAAATCACTACTGGTCGATGTAGAGTGAGAAGCGTCTGTATCTTGGGAAGCACTTCTATCAGAGAAGTTAACCCTTCTTTCAGATGGTTTCTTAGCGGTTGAACTTCTTTGCAATTTTCTCATCGGTGATGCTTTAGGTGCAATGTCGGTAGTCGCCTTAGCATTGGCATCGCTACTAGTGTTTTTACAGTCGGAGTCTTCGGTTTCAGCTTGTTGTAGAGACACAACGACATCAGGAAGTGCAGCTGCTTCAGCTGATGTTTCAAGACCACCGGGTGGTGTTATTACTGCAGATGCGTCGATTGAAAATTCTTTTTCGATGTCCACATTCTTTGTTGGACTTGTTGAAGGTATAAAGCATTTATTTTCGGACCTAGAGAAAATATTTTAATTTAGTCCTAAACTTTACATTTTAAAACAATAGTATTTTGAATGTTAGTATCGAAAAAAAAGTAGTAACCTCAGTAATTCCCAATTGGTGCGTGCGTTATTAATGATTTGATCTCGCCTGGCTTCTTGTTGGGCGGCTCCACCGAGTGCGCAGTAAGCAGCATGTGCGGCCTCTTTATTATTTCGCCATGCCATTGCAGCTCTTCGTACCTAAATAAAAAATATTAAAAGCTTTTTCTGGAAGTATTTCAACATTCAAACCAGCTGTTTATATTACCTGTTCAGTAACGTGCATGTTGCTCAATGTTAGTAAATTAGGAAGGTATGAGACAAGGAACGGTACACAATCTCCACCCAAAGCCACAGGATTCCCATCCAAAGACACATCGATTAGAGAAACTGCCTCAGAAAGCGACGACATATCCTCTACACTGGAAGTTACATTGTTTAAGTTAAATATTTTAAAATAACTGTAGGTATTACGGAAAGTTATAGGTACATGTAAAAATACCTATAAAAATATGTAATTAATAACTCCCTCTCACCTTTGTAAATCGTTGTTACCCAGATACAATTTTTGTAATTTTGGCGTATTTTGAAATCCTAGAAGCTTTCGCAAGCGATTTCGTTTCAAATTCAGTTCTCTTAGTGATACAAGACCCTGGAGATCCGTCTGTCCGACACATTTGATCTGATTACCAGCTAAATTGAGCACTTTCAGTTCACTTAAGTTAGATAAACCGCAAACTTTTCCTATCCTATTTCCATGTAAATCTAAAACTTCTAATTTTATCAGATTGTTGAGGCCTTCAATCCTTTTTATCCTGTAAAATTTTAATTAATATGACTTTTGGTAAATATGTTGGTACTTTTTCGCTCTAAAAAGTTAGACCTCTTACCTATTTTTTCCCATCAAAAGTACTCGTAATCCAAATAATCTTTCCAAAGAAGTTATTTTGTCAATTTGATTGTCATATACGTCGAGGAACACGAGTTTTCCTAAATCTAGTGGAGACAATCCTGACAAACTATTTATTAGATTGTGTTGCAATGACAGAAGTCGTAAACCGGGCTCCCCGACTATATGAGGTATTGATGAAAGGCCTCTCCTGAAAAACGTGTTTAGTTAGTACTTAGACTATTTACTGGACAATAGTACGTAGTAGTACTAGCAGTAGGTTTGCTACATCATATTATCTGGATTTCTAATTGTGAAGTAGATGTCAATTGATAAACATATGCTGGTGAAAAGTACCTACTACAGTTGCTCACTCAGAATTTAAGAAGGGTGTGTTATTATTATTTTACTCATGCATATGCAAAAAATATAAGTACCTGTCAAGACTGATTCTATCGGGTAACCGATCTTTTTCTTGTGGTGTTCTAGAAAGTTGAACTTTTCCTTCTCCCACAGCTTGCAGATTAATGGCTTCATCTTTGCTATCTTCTTTTTGCACGAAATCATTTCTGTAAGACGGACGAGTCACTTTCATAAATGTCTCAGGTAAAAATTAAATCCTACGAATGTTGGTCCACACCAAAAATTTAAGAATGAAAATT